GCTCCCCGGCGCCGGAATAGCACCAGAGCCGGGCTCCGCTTGCATACAAAGACCCGAAGCTGCGACCTCAACTGTTAAGGTTTAGGGTTTAGAGTTCAGGCTTTAGGGTTTAGGGTTTAGGGTTTGATGATATAAATCCTGCATTACCTTAAGGACCCTAAACTATGGGAATTATGGTACGTTCCTTATTATGGGTAATGCCGGTTTCATATCATCAACCGTATCATCTTGGGGTCGGAATGAATACTTATGGACCCTTAATAGCCACATTGTCCTATACACCCATACCCTGCCAAAAAATTCTTGAGGCCCCTACACTGTTGCACAGCGGTCGTTGTGACTTATTTGCCAGAAACCTCAAGCTTCGCCCCCAACATCCAGCAGAACGGTTTAGGGTTCAGGGTTTCTGCTCTAGGATGACTAACCCTAAACCCTAAACCCTAAACGGGCCAGGAGTAGAGCCTTGCCTGCTGTCTGCGAGTGTGAGAGTCGAAACAGACCAACATTCTGCCTAAAGAGTACAAGATGCGGGGGTCATGGATGGGAGCTTCCAAGCCTTCCATCCTCCAAGCTTGCCAACACATACGCAATGACCTAAGCCCATAAGACCTCAATGCCGGACTAGAGCCCTATAGGATTTAGGATTTTGGGGTTTAGGATTTAAAGGTTTAGGGTAAGGGGTTCAGGCGGTTTAGGGTATTAGCCCGGAAGAGAGCCTTAAGCCCCAAACCTTCCGACCTTGCAGACACGAAGCGCTAGAAAGCCCCGGATTCATTCAGAGGTTCCATAGAATCCTGATAGTGTTTAGTCTAGTAGCCCTCATGGAGCCCCTACTGTAGGGGTCTAAATAATTACCAATACTATTTTGGAGGTTCCTTATGATAACTATTGTATAATCTACCTCAAGACCCTATTCTGAATATCAAGGCCCCTGCATTACAGCAGCTCTTCTAGAACCCTCAGAGGTGCGTGCGTTCTTGCTGGAGTGCAACGAGCTCCCGCGCTACGCCGATGCACTCCGGAGAGCCACCGGAAGGAGACAAGGGGTTTCGGGTTCTTAGGGTTTGGGCAAGGTTTGTGGTTTCGGGGTTTCGGAGTTTGGGCAAGGTTTGGGGTTTCGGGCTTCGGGGTTTGGGCAGGGTTTGGGGTTTCGGGGTTTGGGCGAGGTTTGGGGTTTCGGGTTTTAGGGTTCGAGGTGATTTAGGGGAACAGCCGCGAGAAGTCTTTGGTTCGGTTTTGGCATCAGCGACGGAGAACTACTTACTCGCCCGTTGGTGCCCACAACATTGGAAGCATCCATACTTTACGGGTGGATGTTGGCGCGCTTAGGGGCGAAGGCGAAGCTGCTGACAGTGCCCAGCGATAGCAGAGTGACGATGAAGGTGGTGACGATGATGATCATGCAGTAATGCCGTAGGCCCGTTTTCGATGCCATGAAGCTCTGCGACTTCTACATCGACAGCCTTTTGGATAATCCGCGGCCACCCGGCGTGCACTCGTTGTGAGAGTAGAGTTGGGGCTTCTGGGGCTTAGGTGTCCACGGTCGAGGGTTGAGGTTTGCCACAGTTGCCTTGGGCACAGAGCGTCGCTGCATCCGCAACCTTAGAGGCATTCGTGTTAGTAAGCTGAGTGTTGAGTGTCACAGCTTCAAGCCATCAGGATGTTGCCGATGATGTAGTCTAGGGCCCACAAAGCTATACTTCGCAGTTACAAACTGCAAAACTTTCATTGACCCGAAGCCCGAAACTCCACAATTTGAACCCTGAGCCGGAATTTTTGGGAAGGTTCGGGATCAAAGACTGGGACGACGCACTGAACAAGAAGAGCGCTCGCGTGGTCGCACGAAGATCGGGGCCCAGGGCTGCGGGTTTAGGGTTTAGGGTTTAGGGTTTAGGGAATCATTATTCACAGTGGCCTGCTATGTTCCCAAACTATCTAAAGCTAGATGGTTACGGGTTAAGGATGTATATGAATGACTGTTAAAGTAGACCCCAGTTTATGACTATGAAGACGTCCTCTTCGAAGCAATTTTGGATGGCTTAGGGTACAGGGTTCGGGGTTTGGGGCTTGGGGATTCGAGGGGCGCTGGGCGATGTTACTTCAGGTGGGGCTCAAAGGAGTTTAATGTAGGTGCCTTAATAACCCGAATAGGGTTTTGGGTTCTATAGTCAAAATACGGAGGCCACAAAACCCTATTCTAATTATTAAAGCTCTTGTATTAGGCTTTAGGGTTGAGGGCACCTTATAAGCCTTAAACACCCAAACCCCAAAACCCCTGTAAACCCCAGGCCCTAAACCCCAACACCCTACATCAACGCGGCGTTTTTCTGGGGTGAGGCCGAGTTCGATTTCGGCCAGTCGCTGTCCGCGGCCACACAGCTCCTTGCTCCTGCTTTGTAGCTGAGGACGTTCAACGGGTTAGGGTTTAGGGGCTTAGGGTTTAGGGGTTCAGGGTTTTGGTTTAGATCTTTCAGGCTCAGAACCTCAGAACCTGTCAAACATCTTTCGGAAGCTCACGGCGTTGAGGCCTGAAGACCCCGACTTCGTCAATCCTAAACCCCAGAACCCAAACCCTAAGACCCTCAAGCCCTAAAGCCCCAGGGCCTTAACGCCCTAAAGAGAAGCCAAAACCATCTAAACCCTAAGACCCTAAGTCCCTGAAGCACCCCACAAGATGAAACCCCGAAAGCCCTGGACCCTAAACCCTAAACCCTAGACAGGTTGAGGGTTTAGGGTTTAGGCTTGGGGTTCAGGGTTTAGGGACCCTGAACCCTAAACCCAAACCTTGCCGGCCTTGTGCTAGTGTGAGAGTCGAAACCCGAATCCCCAGCCCTAAAGCCCCAGGGCCTGAACGCCCTAAAGAGAAGCCAAACCCCGAAAGCCCTGCCCTAGACGCGATTAAGGCCTAGGGTTGAGGGACCTTGAACCCTAAACCCTAATCCCCAACAGCCCTTGGGACCCCAAAGCTGGAGACGCGACTCTCTTGGAAGGTCTGGGAGCTTTTGGTCTGAGGTGTAGCTTAGTGTTGCCAAAAAAGGTTAGGGTTGAGAGGCGTTTAGGGTTTAGGGTTCAGGGTCCGTGAGATTTTAGGGTGCGGGGTGAAGCGTTTCAGATGTTTGTCAGGTTGGATTTATCTTAGTTTTGGGGATAGGGTTTGGGGTTTAGGGTTTAGGGTCTGGGGTAGTTGTTTAGGGTTTAGGGTTTAGGGGCCTGGGCCGAACCAGCAGGGACTCCTCAAACCCTACTCTAGGGCCTTAATAATTAGAATAGGGTTCCTTCAAGGGTTCCTTTAGAAGGGGTACTATAAGGGTTTAATGTAGGGGCCTTAATAAATAGACTAGGGTTTTGCGGCCCACTATTACTATAATCATCATAAGGAACCTCCAAAATAGAATTGCTAATTATCTAAGCCGTTACATTACCTGTAGCTGAGAATACCTACATTCCTTGGGCTCCTTATATGGTTGCGGTATATATCTACATATAGCTCCATGAATTTTACAAAAAAAGGTAAGCTTTTTGTGGCCACAGGTAATGCTAGGGGCCTGATCAGGAAACCTGGTCCTAGAACCCGAAGATATCAAGAGAAGATGTTAGGATAATAAAGGGATCAAAGGTTTCTTAAACCAAGCTCATGGATTCAACCCCCGAACGCCTCTAAACCCGAAATAAAGCCCTGCAAACCCAGAAACCTCAACTTTAAACCTTATGCCCTAGACTCCGTTGAACCCTAACCTTAACCCTAAACCCAGGCTTATTACAAAGCCGGCTCTCCTGGCGCGAGATCTGGCGCTTCAGGCCAGAAGTTAGTTTTGGGCTCTCTGAGAGCCTGTTAGTATTAGAGTTTAGGGCTCAGGGTTCCGAGCTTAGGATTTAGGGTTTGGAGTTGGAGTTTGGAGCTTAGGATTTCGGGTTTGGAGCTTAGGATTTCGGGTTTAGGGTTTGGAGCGTAGGATTTCGGGTTTAGGGTTTGGAGCTTAGGATTTAGGGTTTAGGGTTGAGGATTCAGAGCTTAGGACTTTGGGCTTAGTGGGTAGGGCCTAGGGGTCTGAACGCGTGCATGGAGCTGAATTCAGGTTCATACTCGGCTGGTCGTTCTCCTAGAAGATGTACTTCATACGCCTGAATAAGCGGTTGGTAGAACTATGCTGTGGGTTTCCTTCCTTTATACTTATACACACATTTGTAAAGATGCCGAAGCCCTATTCTATCACGTTTCTGGCTCCTTATGGTTTAGAGTTGTGGGATTCGGAGGGTTCAGTACTTGGGCTTTAGGGTTTTAGGATTCAGTTCAGATGTTGTACAATTTTAGGAGGTCTTTAGGGTTTGGGTTGCTAGGGCTTTAGGGTATAGGGTGCAGGGTTTGAACACCAGCAGCTTGCAGACGAGAGCGCTCACAAGGCCTGGCTTGTCCTCGTTTGTGGAGACACGCTCCTATTTAACCACCCCCTATTTTGCGCAATGTTCAGCAAATCTTCCTCACCTCCCTTTTTCGAGTCGATGCCTACTTGCAAGTGGATCGCAAAACCCAGGCGTGTGCATATGTCTGGAGCCTGTCATTGACAGGTCCACCCTTGCTTTTCTGATTATGAACTTGTGGAAAATCTACGGTTTAGGGCTTAATGGGGGAACCCTGAGATAGAACCACCAGTGGTAGGATCCTTCTGGCAAGGATCCCTGCAAAAGTTACCTGCGCGAACCCCAAGCCCTGGTTTCTGGGACCCTGATCCCTCTAATTTAGGCCGTCCATGCATGCATACATGCTTGCATATACATGCGAGAAAGGCTACATCAAAATATGAGCATAGATAGAGAACCATCATGCAGCTACAAAGATGTACTTTAGTATGTATTGGCTTGCTTGTGTGTATATATATGGGAGTTTCCGAAAACAAGATTGTTGGGTCCTTATTATAAGGATCCTACTATTTAGGGCGCTATATTAGGGGTCCCCTATTTTCGGAGGCTCCCATATTGCTTTTTGACTATATGGCGAAGGCTGGAGGACTTAGAAAGGAGGCCTCTAAGGACCTAAGGAAGCAACTCCTAGTGTTGATACTATAAATCCTGCACTACTCTTAATAAGGAATACATATACCATAATTCCCATAGTTTAGGGTCCTTGAGGTACTGCAGGATTTATATCATCAACCCAAACCCTAAACCCCTAAACCCCTAAACCCCTAAACCCCTAAACCCTAAGCCCTAAACCCTAAATCCTAAACCATCAACCGTAGTGCTGGGGAGGTGTACGCAGCGTCAATGCAGCATGCAGCTGGGACAGCAAGGATTTACCGCGCCGCTTTAGGGTTTACATCTAGTAGCACGGTTTAGGGTTGAGGGTTTAGGGTTTGGGGTCTGAGCCCTTTAAGGAACCCTCAACTCATATAGTTGCCCTTATAGGGTCCCGATGGTTTAGGGTTGAAGTTGAGGGTTTCGGGTAAGGTTTCAGGATTTCCGGCCAAAGCCCCTCAACTCCCCAGACCCCAACAGCCAACAAGACACCAAATAGGAATCTTTCGGATTTCCGATTTGGGGTTGGGGGTGGTGTGGGCGGCGGCTTTCTTTGAGGTTTTGGAATCTCTGACGTTTCGGTGTGAGGATCATGCTCAGTTTCGGATTGCAAAGTTGTGGTTTGTGGGTATTTGAGTTGCTCACCAACATCAGGAAGTCGCACTATTCCCTGAGCTTGTAGTATTGCAACCCTGGCCTGAAATTTCCCTTAAACCCTAAACCCTACCTAAACCCTAAACTCTAAAACCTAAACCCTAAACCCTAAAACCCTCGAGTTGAAGCAACCGAGTCCTTGCCTGCGTGATCACCGACCATGGAGCCTGAGCTGTTCAGGGCTCCAGGGTGTTGGGGTTTGGGGATTTAGGACTTTTAGGTTTAGGGGCAGGGTTTAGGGCTTAGGGTTTAGGGTGTATCGCCTGGTGTTCAGGGGCCTTCAGGATTGAGGGTTTAGGGTTTAGGGCTTAGGGTTGAGGGTTGAGGGTTTAGGGTTTAGGGCTTAGGGTTGAGGGTTTAGGGTTTAGGGGTCAGGCGCTTGGGAAGTTCTTAACAACGAGCCCCCCGATCCCAGAAGCCCAAAATCGTTTCAGCCATTCTGGTCCGGCATGTTTCGAGGCGGTGTCCATGATGGTGCGTAGCCGCCGTCAAGGAATCAAGCTCGGCGTGGTGCGACTGGACCGTGTTTTGGGGTTTCAGGGCCCTAAACTGGCGTGGAAGGGAAGTGCATAAACTGAAAAAACCCAAAACCCTACTAAACCCTAAACCCTAAACCCTAAACCCTAAACCCTAAACCCAAAACCCTAAACCCTAAACCCTAAACGCTAAACCCAAAACCCTAAACCCTGAGCCTCCAAAGTCTGGTCATGAGCCCGAACCTACCGTTTCAGGTTCCGGCCTTCCGGAAGGGCAGGAGGCCGCAAGAACCTGCGCCTTACCGGTTTAGGGTTTAGGGTTTAGGGTGCGGGTTTAGGGTTTAGGGTTTAGGGTTTAGGGTTTAGGGTTTAGGGTTGAGAGAGCCCAATGCCATACATCAGAAATCTACCCCTGAAGTTTAGAGTGGCCCTGAACGTGATTTAAGACATGAGGTTTAGGGTTTAGAGTTTACGGTTATGAGGTTTAGGGTTTAGAGTGGTTTAGATTTATAGGGTTGAGGGTTTAGAGTTTTCCTGTTGAGAGTTTACAGTAGAGTTGAGGGTTTAGTTTTTGAGGGTTTCGGGTCTCTTGTGACTTAGGATCTATCCCAATCCTTTTAGTCAGGACTCCACCTTAAAGTATGGAGTGAAAGAGTTCCTTAACATGATTTGAGATTTGGGTAGTTCTCTAAAATTGCGGTCCCTTTTTTTTAGGTCCGTTTTTTTAGGTCCCCGATGTATATAGTACTGCACCCTTATAAGGGCTCGAGAACACCTTAGCCGAAGGATCGCTTGTAGCCCCAGTGTGCAAGGGCACACGCGTGGAGTGAGCCATTGGCCTCCATCCTGCCAGCCCTAGCTGGCACCGCAGACAGCGGAAGCAACGCTCGACTGCCCGTCGGCGTATCCGCAAGGCTAGATTTAGCCAACAACGGCCCAGCTGGAAAGACGTCGTGAAAGTTTACGACCACCACGCAGCCCCGCCTTTTGT